GGCACGTCCCCACGCGTCTCGTGGCCCCATAGGGAGCTCTACCGAAAGCGGCACCCACAACGCGTTACTCACAACTGCAAATGGTTGGTTCTTTCGCCAGGATAAGTTGACAGGGGTTGTGGAGGGTGTTGGCAGGGTGGGCTCCGCAATGTGCATCTTGTGTTGTTTGTTGACAGGGATGGTGGGGGGGTGCTCATGGTGTGCACATATTTGTGGGTTGGCGGCGGACTTTTTGTGTATTAGGTTTTTTTTTGGTTTATAATATGCAGTTATTTTTTATTTATAAGGAGCAGTGATGAAGCTACCCTCCTAGATAGCAAGCCGTCTAGCTCACTCTTACCCGCCCTCCCAACACATGACTAACACCGAGCCCCAGCGCGTTCAGCGGTCGTCTTTGGATGAACAGCTATCGGGAACCAAAGCCGAGTCCATGTGCGCGACGTTGGGGCAAGATGCGCATGGGCGTGCCAGGCGCGCCGCGGGCCCGAACGTGCCAGCCACGCCTGGTGCGCCAGATGCGCCGCGTGCCTCCGCGTGCGCCATGTGTGCCGCATGACCTGGCCGTGTCAGGTGCGCCACGTTCGGGGCACGTGCAAAGTGTGTCAGGTGCGCCTGCGCACGTGACAGCTCACATCGGGAAACATATTGGCCTCACCATCCTTGTCGAAAGTCAATGCCCATCAGTGTCTCTGGCGGGCCCATACGCCACCACCCCCGCCGTCCCTATCAAAAACCACTTGGCAGTGATCACGGGGTGGCCGCGCACGATCCAGATTTAGCCGCGAGGTGGATGGTAGCTCTGCGCGCAGCAGGTAATATGCTGACATCCTCGCCGTCCTTGTCCAACAACTTATCCTGGCGAAGGACCCAACCATATACAGTTGTGGGTAACGCGTTGTGGGTGCCGCTTTCGGTGGAGCTCCCTATGGGGCCACGAAACGCGTGGGGATGTGCCGTAATGGGTGGGGGAGCCGCGTGCAGGCGGTGCCACTGGGGCCTTCTGTGTGGTTCCCAATGGGCCACGAAACGCTGTACTGGGTGTGGCTGACGCATGGGGCGGTGCCCCTCGCTGGAGCTCCCGATGGGGCCACGAAGCGCTGTACTGGGTGGTGGCTGACGCTTGCGGGCGGTCTCACTGGGACCATCGGTGGAGTTCCCTATGGGGCCACGAAGCGCTGTACTGGGTGGTGGCCGACGCATGCGGGCGGTGGGGGACGACTGCGGGCAGTGCCACTGGGGTCTTCCTGTGAAGTTCCCTACGGGGCCACGAAACGCTGTAGTGGGTAGTGGCCATGCGGGCGGTGTCTGTGGGGGCTTCGGTGGAGCTCCCTATGGGGCCACGAAGCGCTGTGCTGGGAGGGGGGGAAGCATGCGGGCGGTGCCACTGGGGCCTGGGCTCACGAAGCGCTGTACTGGGTCGGGGGTCGCATGCGGGCGGTGCCACTGGAGCTCCCTACGGGGCCAGTACCGGGTGGGGAGGGCGCATGTAGGCGGTGCCACTGGGGCTTGGTGGAGCTCCCAATCAATGGGGCCGCGAAATGCAGTACTGGGTGGTGGGCGACGCATGCGGGCAGTGCCACTGGGGTCTTTCTGTGGAGTTCCCTGCGGGGCCACGCAACGCTGTACCGGATGGGGGCTGACGCATGCGGGCGGTCCTATTGGGACCATCGGTGGAGTTCCATATGGGGCCGCGAAATGCAGTACTGGGTGGTGGACGACGCATGCGGGCGGTGCCACTGGGGCCTGGGCTCACGACGCGCTGTACTGGGTGGGGGGTCGCATGCGGGCGGTGCCACTGGAGCTCCCTACGGGGCCACGGAATGCTGTACCGGGTGGGGAGGGCGCATGTAGGCGGTGCCACTGGGGCTTTCGGTGGAGCTCCCAATCAATGGGGCCGCGAAATGCAGTACTGGGTGGTGGGCGACGCATGCGGGCGGTGCCTCTTGGGTCTTTCTGTGGAGTTCCCTGCGGGGCCACGCAACGCTGTACTGGGTGGTGGCTGACGCATGCGGGCGGTCCCATTGGGACCATTGGTGGAGTTCCCTATGGGGTCGCGAGGCGCTGTACTGGGTGGTTCGCCGACGCATGCGGGCGGTGCCAATGGGGTCTTTCTGTGGAGTGCCCTGGGACCACGAAGCGCTGTACTGTTGGCTGACGCATGCGGGCGGTCCCACTGGGACCTTCGGTGGAGCTCCCCGTGGGGCCACGAAGCGCTGTGCTGGGTGGTGGCTGACGCATGCGGGCGGTCCCACTGACACTTTCGGTGGAGCTGTCTATGAGACCACGAAAAGTTGTATTGGGTGGTGGACGACGCATGCGGGCGGTGCCACTGGGGCCTTCGGTGGAGCCAGTCCCCTATGAGGCGCTGGGTGGTGGCTGACGCATGCGGGCGGTGCCACTGTGACCTTCGGTGGAGCTCCCTGTGGGGCCTTGAAGCGCTGTGCTGGGTGGTGGCTGACGCATGCGGGCGGTGCCACTGGGACCTTCGGTGGAGCCCCCCATGAGGCCACGAAGCGCTGTGCTGGGTGGTGGCTGACGCATGCGGGCGGTGCCACTGGGGCCGTCGGTGGAGCTACCTATGGGCCACGAAGCGCTGTACTGGGTGGTGGCTGACGCATACGGGCGGTCCCACTGTGACCTTCGGTGGAGTTCCCTATGGGACCACGAGGCGCTGTGCTGGGTGGTGGCTGACGCATGCGGGCGGTCCCACTGGGACCTTCGGTGGAGCTCCCCGTGGGGCTTTGAAGCGCTGTGCTGGGTGGTGGCTGACGCATGCGGGCGGTGCCACTGGGGCCTTCGGTGGAGTTTCCTATGGGGCCACGAAGCGCTGTACTGGGTGGTGGCCGACGCGTGCGGGCGGTCCCACTGGGGCCTTCGGTGGAGCTCCCCATTGGGCCACGAAGCGCTGTACTGGGTGGTGGCTGACGCATGCGGGCGGTGCCACTGGGGCCTTCGGTGGAGTTCCCTATGGGGCCACGAGTCGTGTGAGGGGTGTGCCCAAATGGGTGTGCCCAAATGGGCGTGGCTGACGCATGCGGGCGTTGCCATTTGGGCCTTTCGGTGGCTATGGGCCACGAAACGGTGGACATGCGGGGGCAGAGGCAAGGGATTGGAGGAGGGGGAGGAAGGAGGCGGGAGGAGCAACGCGGGGACCGTCTCTTCAAAACGAGGACCCAACACCACGGGATGGTTGGGAACAATACACAGTGCTCGCGGGCCTCATGACTCCAGACGTTGCCCCCAAATGTACTTTGTATTTTTGTGACAGGGATGGTTTGGGGGGGCCGCATCGGGTTGGCCGCGCATGCTCCAAGTATGGAGGCATCTTGTGTTTTGTATTGTTTTTTTACAGGGACGGTGTGGGGGGTGCCCTCATGGTGTCCTCATGGTTCCTGGTTGGCTGCCAGTCCCCTGGGGGAAGGGGTGTATATTAATAGGGAACAGTGATAAACCCCTCCCCGAAAGGGAAGAAGCGGGTTGGAAGTGTAGCCTCCCTAGACCACCTACGCCCAGAGGGCTGGTGGGATTCGCTAGGTGACGGCAAACTCAAGACCACGTTGCCCTCGTCGGGTCTCCCCAGGTCGCGGCGGAAAGCTCTGTTGAGGTCCTCGCCTTGGGGTGCTGGTTGCAAGCCACACCCTTCGGAGTCACCGATCTCCCCCTGTCTGTTGGAGGAGGAGGAGGGCGAGGAGGAGACGGAGGAGGAGACGGAAGAGGTTCGCTTCGGCTATCCACGAAGGGAGGGTCAGGCCCTTTCTGTGGGGTTCACGTCGAGCCCATGTGGGCCCGACGGTCGAAGGAGGAGGTTAGGGAGGAGGAGGAGGAGGCTGAGGAGGAGGAGGAGGAGGAGGAGGAGGAGGAGGAGGAGGCGGAGGAGGAGGAGGAGGAGGAGGAGGAGGAGGAGGAGGAGGAGGTTAGGAGGAAGGAGGAGGAGGGAGGAGGAGGGAGGAGGAGGAGGAGGAGGAGGAGGAGGGAGGAGGAGGAGGAGGAGGAGGAGGAGGAGGAGGAGGAGGAGGAGGAGGGGGAAGAGGAGGATCGGCACTGACGCTCGCATGCGGTTGTGCTGTGTCCGGCCTGCCGATCTTTGTCACTCTAGGGGCCCCTGCCTTTGCTTGACCACCACCCCTGCATTCGGAGAGTCCCCGAGGTCAGCTTTGTGCGCTCCCTTTCGGCCGTGTCCCCGTCGCTCTGGTCAAGTGTGGTGCCAATCGGTGAGCGTCAGAGCCTTTGTTTGGGAGGGAGCTAGTTCAACCCCAGAGTCGCGAAGGTTATCGCGCTTCGCGCATCACGGCTTGGGTTGGAGAGGGCTCTTCTCCATGGCGGCAGCGCGAGGGCGCGGAGATAACCGCGCATCGTGCATCGCGGGGCACGATGCGCGAAGTTAGGTGACGTAGGGGAGGGAAGGGGTCAGGCAGGGAGGAAAGGAGGGGCGGAGGGGGGGCGGAGAGGGTGGTGGGAGGAAGCTGAAGAGGATTAGGAGGACGAGGACTTTTCCTCCTCAGCTTTCTCCCTTGTCCTACTAGTTTCATGATGGTCCTTAATGCCAGTAGTTCCAGACCATTTCACAGAACCGCTGTCTTTCTCCACAGTTGTGTTGTAGTTGTTGATCAAGAAGGAGAAGGAGGACGAGGAAGAGTCCCAGAGTGAACCCAAGATGCGGAAATCATGCTGCAATACGCCAGCCCTTCGCAAGGTTCCCCCCCATATCATCAGCCCCATACAGGCACCCCTTTTCACTGTGGGAGGTGCCCCCTTGAAGACGATCGCCCCTGGGTTCTCCCATTCAGGTGGTTGTAACGTCTGAAAAAGGACTTGCAGTCCATGTTTATAACCTTCGTGACGCAGACCAGGTATAATCAAAATGTTCAAGGAAGAGCTCAGCGCCTAGATCTATGTACGCATCGGGCAAGTCGAAACATAGGATGCCAGTGCGAGGGCAGGCGCATGTTACCCACGCCCAAGTCGTGCGGACTTTTGCCCCGAGACTACGCTCGTTGTTCGGCGACGTGGGCTTCTGCATCTCTGTTGTCGTCCTTCTGCATGCCGATGCAGCGACTTCTCGAGAGCCCTGTCATCCACGCAGCACGCTGATCGGTCCCTTCACAGCGTGTGCGGGCTCCATAATGAAAGAGACCAAGCGTCACAGTCATCGGATGAATCTCGACAGCGTTGATCGACCCAGCGCAGCACTTTAATAATTCGTCTGGCGAAGGGCCCAACCATATGCAGTTGTGAATACCGCAATTGTGAATATCTTCTTCGGTGGCGCTCCCTATGGGGCCACGACCCGTGCGAGGGGTAGGCCGAAATGTGTGGCGGGATACGCGGTACAAGCGAAGACGATAGGTCTGAATCTGCTTCGTGTGGCGGACGCATGCGGGCACCCCCACTGGGGCCTTCGTCGGAGCTCACTATGGGGCCACGGACGCATGCGGGCACCCCCACTGGGTCTTTCGGTGGAGCTCCCTGTGGGGCCACGAAACATTGTAGTGGGCGTGGCGTCCGCATGCGGCCCCCCCCCCCCACTGGGGCCTTCGGTGGAGCTCCCTATGGGGCCACGCAACGCTGTACTGGGTGTGGCGGGCGCATGCGGGCACGGGCCACGAAACGCTGTACCAGGTGCGGCGGACGCATGCGGGCACCCCCACTGGGGCTTCCTGCGGAGCTCCCTATGGGGCCACGCAGCGCTGTAGTGGGTGTGGCGGACGCATGCGGGCACCCCCATTGGGACCTTCGGTGGAGCTCCCTATGAGGCCACGAAGCGCTGTACTGGGTGTGGCGGACGCATGCGGGCACCCCCACTGGGTCTTTCGGTGGAGCTCCCTATGGGGCCACGCAACGTGTGAGGGGTGTGCTGAAACGGGTGATGATGATGATGATGGAGGAGGTAGAGGGAGCGGGATGAGGATGAGGAGCAGGATGCGGATGAACGCGGGGACCGTTTCTTCAAAACGAGGACCCAACACCACAGGATGGTTGGGAAAACAGCTGTCCAGGGGGTGTTGTGAGCTTGCGTGCTGAAGGCTGCAAGACCAAGCAGCGTGTCATTGCATCAAGCAGGGCTGATGCTGATCGCATTAAGCCTCAGTGCTCGACGGTAATGCATTAGCAACATAGTTCTACGGTCGCATGTGCTCGAAGGGGTACGAACTTTATCTTGAACAGTTTCAGGCCGCTTCACTGATATATTGTTTCCAATGTTGCGCGATGTACTCCCGTTCATGCATTTGCTGTCGCATCTGCTTCGTCGCTTGTTTTTCTCTCCCTGCTCTTCCTTTACTTTGCGAGAGCGCCTCGAGGCCTTCAGCGACGAAATTATGTAGAATTGGAGGTTCCCATCGCGCCCTGAAGGGGCTCCATTGCAGAGATAGCCGCCCAAAGTCAGACAATAGTCGGAAGCAAGGCAGCCATACACGCGCCACCAGCCTCTGTTGCGGCAGTCGCGGCAAGGAGCCCTACCCCGTCGCTTTTGCAGATGCGGTTGTATTTTTGGGGTAGGATGTGCCCTTTCTTGCATGGGCTATTTTCGGCCTTCACCTACCTGGCGCTTTGACAGGCTTGGCTGGATTGCATGCATTTGTGGCACTCCTCGTCTTCCTTGTGTCAAAGGCGAGTTTCTCGGCGTTGGGTTCGTTCATTTCCTCACAAAGCTTGCAACGATGGTTTCGTATTCGTTGGAATGGGAGTGTAAAGTGAACGCCATTATTCTTTTGCTCTTGGGACTAGCCCCGACTATCCCTCGGCCTGGCTTGTTTTTCGTCGAGCGTGTGTGTTTTGCTGGGAACACACCCGAACAGTATTCGGCCTTGTCCCTCTGATCCGAGGGCTTGTGATCCCTTTGGCCCCTGGCTGGGTCGCGGGGATTCGGCCTGGTTTGTCGGGGATTCCGGTCTTGGGGCTTGCCCCTTCCAGCTGCCTGGCATGAGCTCCGCTGGCTTACAGGGAATGCGGTGCTGGTGACTAGCTTTGGTAGCACCTGGCATTGGCCCCACTGGCGTCCCGGGTATGTCGGTTCTTGGGACTAGCTTCGACTAGCCTCTGGTACTGGCCCCGTTGGCTTGTGGGGGAAGGGGGCTCTTGGAGCTAAGCCGAGGAGCGGCTGGCACTTGGATCATTGGTTTTGGCTGAGAACTATCCGAACTCTTGGGATCGGCCCCGCCACTGCCCCCTGCTGGCCCCTGCCTGGACGGACCAAACGCTGTCTGGGGCACACGCGCCCATCGCGTATTTTTGGCCCGTTTTGTTTCTTTTTGTGGTGTCAAAGGTGAGGTTCCATACGCGTGCATGCGCCTCGAACCTGGTCGGCCTCATAGGGATTGACCGATGAATGTCTATGTTGTTTTGCAAGTGTTCTTTACATAATGCGTGCGTGCTTGTGCGGTGAACATGTCCTCGTCGTTGCATTCGTTCTGCGCTGTTTCGCTTTGGATCGAGTCGGCTGCCATCACTGGTGGTTTCGGCCCAAAGACACGTGCGTTAACTATTTCACTTCGTGCGTGGATTTTTGTCATTGTGCCTGCTTCCTCTTGCGTCGGCCGCGTATGCAGGGCCATGGTATTCTCTTGGCGCCCGCTGCAGTCAGCATAATTCAAGCATTGATCAGGCTCCAACCTTCCTGAAAAAAGACGAGAAATTGTGCGCGCCGATGCCTGCCGACTCTCTCCGATTGCCACGACGGAGTGACATTTTGGTTGTAACAGAGGAGGCAACGGTTTCGGTCCCATAGTTCAGCCGCCAGGTTCAGGGATTCCCTGGCATGTCGGAGCCACTGGCGGGACTTCAGAGTCCGCACTGGATTTCGGAATTGTGGAGTCGTTTTGAAACCCCAACACAGTGTCCAGAAGTTTGGACCTCCATCATGTCGCTATGGTTCCGTAAGAGCATGCAAGTCTCGAAGTAGGAGCCTGGGTGATCATGTGTCGAGGTTTTGACCTCTCGTGCGCGTTTTGGCGGTCCCAAACGATTCGGCGAAGCATCTCTTGCCGTCGGTGCACCACTTCCCTGCTTGTGTCCACGGGCGACTGTCGTCTGGCCGTTGCACAGCGGCCGCCCCTGCTTTCGCAGCGAGGGGATCCCACCGCGCGGCGGTGCAGCCCAATCGGGCCACAGGAGCAGCGCTCCCCCGGGCGATGGGCCATCGTGTGCCACCGCTGGGGAGGAGCTCAGCATCGTCTTGCCAGTCCTCGTCCTTTCCGGGCCACGGCATCTCAGCCCCAGCAGCCCAGCCCCCTAGGTGGGGATAAGCCTCGCGAAGCCCGATGGAACAGGCACGTATCCTCACCCAGGTGGGCACGTCGGCCAGAGGGCCGAGGCCACGCCAGCGGGGACCAGGATGGGTGCAACGATGCTCGTGGGGAGAGCTATCGGCTGCATCGGCACCTCAGGGCGGCGTCGTGGCCGGCTCGCGGGTCGGGGTCGGCCTGTGCTTCCCTCCCCGACCTCCTGCGCGCGGTCCTGGGGTGGGTGGGTGCGTTTGGACCTGGGGGCCCGGGGCCGACGCGCTGCAGATCTGGGTGCCCCAGGCGTGCCTTGCCAGAGGGAGGGACGCATCAGACGGGGCCAGGACGAGGATAAACCCATCCAGAGCGTTCCGGAACGATCTCAGAGCGTTCCGGAGCATTTCTGAGGATGACGCAGCGCCCGGTACATTTTCCAGATCCGCCGGATCAGAGAGAGTCTCGATTTATCCTCACCCGATTTTATCCTCGTCCTAGCGTCGTCTGAACGGAGGAAGGGAGGGAGGAGGAGGGGACGAGGAGATGGTGGGGTTGGGGAAGGGAGGGCCCGGCACGTGGCAGGGAAGGGAGCGAATGAGAGGAGGGAAGCGCCGCGCGCGTTCGCGCGCACATCTCGAGACGGAGGCCAGGCCGGCCGTGTACATAGCCGCCACGGGCTGGCCCCGCCCGTGTACAGAGGCAGGATGGGGGGCCCTCAGCTGTGATTCTCTGCTCGCCCCAGCGCCGTGCCAGGCTCTTCGCACAGTCATGGCAAGCATTTCGCCCATGCGTTCTTGTTATTAGCAGGGCGCCTCCGCCTCACTCACTCACCCGCCCATCTCAGGCTTTCGCACAGTCAGACGCAGACTAACTCATACTCCTTCCCATCACCTCTCCTCTCCTTCTCTTCTCTCCTCTTCGTTACGTTGCCGTCACATGCAGTTCACTCATACTCAGACTGACTCACATTGAGACCCTCTCGTCCTCACACCTTCTCATACGAAGACTTAATCACACTCAGACTTACAATCAGACTCACTCATACTCATACTTGCTGATGCACATATCCACAGCCACTCAGACTCACTCTCACTTAGACCTACTCATACTCAGACTCACTCGCACTAAGACTCACTCGCACCGCGATGTAGCAGGCGTGGCATTTAGGCACCCCAAGGGGGAGCCGCCAGGGGGTGTTGCACTACCCCGTTCGCGCCCAGACTGGGGGGGGGGACGTGCGTCGACGTGCATTGCGGGAGTGTGGTCGACCATTTCATTCTGGGAGTCTTCTGAGGGACTCTTGCAGTCATTTTGGGACCCTTGTGGGGCAGTTTTGGGAGTGTTGGGAACCCTCTTTTGGACCATCTCGGGCCTCGGGCCAGTTTGGGGCCTCTCGGGGCTCCCTGGGCCAGAGGGCGCCTTCTGGGGGCGTTTTGGGGGGGCAGGGGGGGGCATATTCGGGGGGTGAGCTCCCAGAGCTCCTTCGAGCTCGCCCTCTGAAGCCCCTCTGGGGGGCCCTCTTCGGCCGACATGGGGCTCTCGTGGGCCCTCTTGGGTCCCTGCGGGGCTTTCTTGGGAGCCTCCTGGGCCGTCTTGGGCCGGTCTGGGGGCTGTTGGGCCATCTGTGGGGTTCGAGGCCCGAAAAGGCGAGAAGTATAACATGTGCGCAACACAAACAGGAAATCCATGCGTTTTGCCTCTTGAAGCCCCCTGGGTGGACTCTCTTGAGGCCCTCTTGGGGCGGGCCGGGAGCTTCTGGTGCCGTCTTGAGGCCATCTAGAGTTGCTTCAGGGCTCGTCGGCGTGTTGGAGACTGTCTTGAGCGTCTTGGAAGGCAATTCGGGTAGCTCACGGGATCGGATGATGCAATTGGAGGCCCCTGGAGCCTGGGAGGTGCGCTGATGAGTTTGTCCCCCCCACCCCACATTCCCCCTCTCTATCATGGGATTTTCGGCCCTGGGAGAGGGAGCCAGGGGACGGGGAACAGCCAAATCTTTCACACGCCTTTGCACCCTTTGGCCAGCGGAGGTCGGCAGATTTCGTGCTGTGCTTGTTCTCCTTCCGATTTGTGTACTAGACGGCGCCGTGTGTGTTTTCGTCTGATACAGTACGCTCCTTCAGATATTCAGTTGGTAACTATATTCATTCAGAGGGCAGTGTCGCGTAAGACGACGGGTCGGAGTTGCATCCAGATCCAAGTAATGTTGAGGATCGTGGAGGGCTAATGTAGCTGTGAACGTTGTATTAATCGCTAACTTCATCTTGCGGTAACCGTAGAACCAGGCAGCGGCAAATTCTTGAGAGGAATGGGGACAAGGGTGCGGGGCATGAAGCAGACAGGCGTGGCAGTGCAGGGGCCGGATGAGATGGGGCGTCGGCCTTGCTTTCGCGCAGCTGCCGCTGAAAAGGAATGCTTTGTTTTTTACGCTCTTTGTTGAGCTCTGTTTGGTGCACAATCTCATTTGAACTTGATCCACAGTCTCACTTGCTTGTCGATCAAGTAGATTATGTGAATCCTGTGCTCATTGTCTGGTGCTCTTGCTGCGTGGGCCGATGCATTTGGCCGTTGCCAATTAGTTGCAGCTTTGTGAGCATGTTGGTTATTGGTTGATGCTGCGATATGTCGCCCAGGTATCGCTAGGTTCCTTCATTTTTGAAACCTCCCCGTAGCTTATGTGTGCTGTGCACCACCGCGACTGTGCTTGCATCTTCCGCGCGTTACAGCTTATGTGTTTGTGCGAGCGCGACGTTCCAACCTGATGTGCGCATACACGTGCTCGCAATGGCTTGCTGACAGACGTATCACTTGATTTTATTTGCTTTCAATCTATCGCGCCGACCGCGGTCTATGCACATGATGGGTTGTATACATTCGTATACGCTGCGAGGACGGCTTCGCTCTGTTTCTTGCTGTTGCTCTTGTAGTCATCGGCTTTGCATGTGTTGCGATGTTCTGTGCTGCCTGACCACTCGTCAGCGAATCCAGCCTGCGTTTGGTTTGCGTCTGCAGGATCGCTCGAACAAGTCTCCTCCTTCCCCTTCAGATTTTACAAGTACGTCCTCAAGCGCTTGATCGGAGGCTTCCTCAAGCACGACATAGACCTCGAACAGCTGGACGTGCTTCGTCGAGTCGAATTAGTTTCGGGATCGACGGATGAGGGGAGCAGCAGAACGCGAGCTAGCGGACGATCCCGCGAGGCCTCTGATGGTGCGTAGCATAATGAAAGGGGAAATTTGGAGAGCAATCGAGGCCGAGAGCTAGAGAGCGAGACCGAGAGCAAGCGCGATCCCGACAACAGGGAAGACCGGGGAGCGATGACGATACGCCACAGAAGAAATGCAGGGCGCTCTGGGTGAGCACGAGGCGCGTTGCGCTTCTGCTCCGGTGGCGGTCGGTCGTGGTGCAGGGGCGCGCCGCAGGCTCGGAGGGAGCGTCGCAGCCGCAGCGGAGGCTCGGAGGGGGAGCAGAAGCAGGAGGTCACCACCCACCAAACCACCCCAACCCAACCCGAAGGGTCAGATTTACCCTCGATTTCTAGTGTGGGGGGGTGTCCGGGAACATCGAAAAAACACGTATGGAGCCCATACCCACCCCAACCCGAAATTCGGGTCTTCGGGTTGGGTTGGGGTGGTCTGGTAGGTAGTCAGGAGGGTAAGTCTTCCTGCCTCCGAGGAGCCGCGGCCCGCTGGCCGCTGGCCGCGGCGCTTTGGTTCAGCTCGGCGACGCGCCCGGGGCGGAAGTGAGAAGGGGCAGGCCTTCTCGGAAGGTGACGGGGCTTCTCAGAAGGCGGCGGGGCTCCTGGGAAGCTGTCGCTGTCGTCGGAGAAGGCTCAGGCACGTTCTCCGAAGGCCTGAGGCCTTCCGAGCCTTCTGAGAAGGTCGGCCCCCTCTGCATTCCCCCTTGGGCTCGCCGCCGATAAGCATATTGGCGCGCTCCTCCAGTAGGATCTTACGGACAAGGGCCCCGCTCTGAGGTGTACCAAGCTGCGTATCACATTCTGGGGGAAGGTACTCCGTTGCGAGGGCGGCGGTTTCGGTAAAACCACCCTGAGGATTGGGCCGACTCGTCAGATCGCTGATGGTGCCTCCCTTGATCTCATGAACAGAAGACGTTGTGAGGATTCCGTAGCCTGCTCGAAGATGTCAACGGTCGGATCGTCGTGATTTTGCTGTGGCATCGTGCCGTGGCGTCGTGTCGTGCCTTGCCTTATTGTGCCGTGTCGTCACTTCGAGATTCGGTTGGGCGCGCGGTGCCGTGCCGTGCCGTACCGTGTCGCGAATCGTAGATCCGTTGGGCGCGTGGTGCGCCGTGTGCCGTGCTCCCGTCTGCCGTGTGCCGCGTGCCGTGTGTGATTTGGCTGTGTGCCGCGCTGTGTAGTACTTTGTTGCCAACTCGTGAGTCCGTCGGGCGCGCGGTGCCGTGCTGTGCCGTGCTGTGCCGTGTCGTGCCATTTCGTACCGCGTGCCATGCCGCGTGCTTTGCACTGCCGTGCCGCGTCGCAAACTTGTCGATCTTCCGGGTGCGCGGTGCCGTGCCGTATGCGGCGTGCTGTGCCGTGCCGTGTGCCGTACCGCGTGCAGTATCGTGTGCCGTGTCGTGCCGTCGCGTCGGGTATCCAGCTCGCGGGTCCGATGGGCGGTGCCATGCCGTGTTCTGCCGCGCGGTTGCGTGCCGTGCCATGCCATGCAGTGTCGTGTCTTGTTGCTCTCGGGCCGCTCAACGTGTTGAGATGTTCATATTTTGCACGGTCACTTACCTCATGTGGTTCTTTTTTCTTATGCTTTGATCGCCTTCTCGAATCCGTCATGATCAGAATTGAGGCTCCAAGCCTGGATTATGGCCTGGTATCGCCTTAGCAGTACGCGAGACACACGCTTGGGAGCGGGGCCTGGGCCTGTTACGATTCGTTGCAAGATTGCAGCAGCAAGGTGCAGCTTTACCACGGCATCGTGCAGCTGAAATCATTAGAGCTGGATGTCGCGCAGTTCAACCTTGCCGCAATGGGCGGGAACCAGTTGGGAACATCATCGGGTCGTGCTCTGACGAGCCTTGTTTCGAGCCTTCATTTTGTTGTGGCATGATATCTCAGGTGCAGGGGATCGTACTTTGAAGCGGTCACGGCAAAATGCCTGCATGATGTAGTCTATTCGCACGTACTAGATGTGAGCACTCCGAGCCTTGCTTGCTGTTAATGTGTCCGGCCCGTTATCATAATCTCTTGTGTCGTTCGAGTAGTGAATCTGTTGTTTTGTAGCACTGGGTGTCATAACGTTCCAGGTGTGCACCCGCGATCCAACCAAGAGGGGCCACATCACACACTTTGGTCTCGACTGGGAAACCTCCTTTCCGTGTCGCATTCAAACATGTTTTTGGGGAGGCGCGTTTTAGGGCCACTCATCTTAATTCTTTGCGGTGCCATGTATCGGGGAGCTGTACCTTGGAAGCGATCACGGCTTTTTGTTTATCCAGTTCTGCTGCCGCACGTCTTGGGCAGTGCGCCGCTGGGGGATCTGCGGACGACATGTGTGCACCGCACCGTGTTGGCGCCTCTTGAGGCGTCGTGGATCCTCGGCCCACGAGTGGTACGAGTTTTTCGGTCCCCAGAGCAAGACAAGTATGCACCGTATCTCGCTGGGGCGTGGCCAGGACGGGAGTCCAGACACGTACGGTGCATGCGCGCCATTCTTGCAGTGGGAGGGACTTGGGGGTGGGTGACGGGCAGGTGGGACGGGCTGCGGGGGTGATGGAGTGCCACAGACGCCGCAGTCAGTTCGGTGGCTGCGCGGGAGGAAGCGGCTGGTACCGCCACGACGGGCCAGTTCCTTGCCGAGCCCGCTGACGCGCCGAGGTAGCGTCAGCAAGCTTTGCGTTTCGACATTCAGACGCCTGGACGTTTTACCCCGCAAGGTGGTTGCGAGGAGGATGGTGACGATGATGATGAGGAGGAAGAGGAGGACGGAGAGGAGGACTGTGAGATGAGGTGGGAGGTGCACGCCGAGGCGGCGTGTTCGATGGAGTGCCGATTCCTGCCTCCTGCGTGTGCTTGCGTGTGCCTGGCGGTGACCTTTTTGGTTGGCTCCGCAGTGGTCCTAGATCACGCGGCTGCTAACGCGATCTCCCATACTCCCGCTTCCGTCCCCCCCCGCTCTCTCTTTCCGCTTGCTTGCACCCCCCTCTCTTCCCTCACTCTCTCTGCACTCCGTCCTCCCGTTTCGCCCTGTCATGCCCTCAACTCCTCACCCCTTCAGCACCTCACCATCTCACCGCCTCATCCCCTGTCTCCCTCCCCCTCCCCTATTCACCTGCTCCCCACCTCTCCCTCTCCCCTCGCCTCTTTCCTCTACCCGATCTCTTTCTCTTTCTCATTTTTTTTTTTTTTTTTTTTTTTTTTTTTTTTTTTTTTTTTTTTCTCTCTCTCTCTCTCTCTCTCTCCTTTTTTTTTTTTTGTTTTCTCTCTCTCTCTCTCTCTATCTCTCTGTTATATATATATATATATATATATGTATATCCCCCCTGCCCCTCCTACCTCCCCGGCCTCTTTTTAATTTCCCCTCCTTTCCTCACCACTCCTCCTCTCCCCCCTTCCGTCCTTCCTTGCTTCCAGCCCTCCCCCATCCCCTCTGCTCCGCTCCCCTTCTCTCCCGCTCCCTCCCCTCCCTTCACCTTTCCCCATCCGTCAGATGGGGTGGCAGGCACGGGCATTATGCTGCACTTCGCCAGCGGCCTTGTCGGCTGCATCAAGATGGACATACCGTGGCGGCACCTGCTGCGAGATCACTGCAAGGCAGCCGCCCCTTTGGCTCCCCTCCCCCCTGCGGCCCTGCGGAGGAGGATACTGAGGTGGAGGACGAGAGGGAATGGGCAACGGAGGAGGTTACGGAAGGGGTGGAATCTGAGGAGGATGGTGAGGAGGAGGAGGACGAGGATGATGATGATGATGATGATGATGATGAGGAGGGACAGGACGAGCGTTTGCTCCCGCGGGATGCCCACGAACATGTTGTTGATGATGATGGTGGTGATGATGATGCTGATGATGATGATGCTGCTGCTGATGATGATGATGATGATGCTGACGATGATGATGATGATGACGATGCTGATGATGCTACTGATGCTGATGTTGATGCTGCTGCTGCTGCTGATGATGATGATGATGATGAGGATGATGATGGTAATGATGATGATGCTGATGACGATTCTGATGCTGATAATGATGCTGATGCTGACGATGATGATAATGATGATGCTGCTGATGATGATGCTGATGCCGATGATGATGGCGATGCTGATGATGACGATTATGACGACGATGAGGATGACGATACTGATGACGATGATGATGACGATGACGATGATGACGATGCTGATGATGATGCTGATGCTGATGCTGATGCTGCTGCTGATGATGATGCTGATGATGCTGATAATGAGGATGATGATGACGATTACGATGCTGCTGATGATGATGCTGCTGCTGATGATGATGATGATGATGCTGATGCTGACGATGATGATAAGGATGAGGCTGCTGATGGTGATGATGCTGATGCTGATGCTGATATTAATGACGATGCTAATGATGACGACGACGATGATGACGACGATGATGATGACGATGTTGATGATTATGCTGATGCTGATGCTGCTGCTGCTGCTGCTGCTGATGATGATGATGATGATGATGATGATGGTATTGAGGATGATGATGACGAGTATGATGCTGATGCTGATGATGATGCTGTTGCTGCTGATGATGATGATGATGCTGATGCTGACGATTATGATAATGATGAATCTGCTGATGATGATGCTGATGCTGATGCTGATGATGATGACGAGGCTGATGGTGAGGATGATGATGATGATGATGATGATGATGATGATGATGATGGTGGTGGTGGTGGTGGTGGTGGTGGTGGTGATGATGATGATGATGATGATGGAGGTGATGATGATGGTGATGATGATGCTGATTATATTGTTGATGATGATGAGGAGGAGGACGATGAGGAGGAGGAGGCGGAGGAGGAGGATGCAGACGAGGAGGAGGAGGAGGAGGCATAGGAGGAGCCATTTTCTTGCTGCAATGCTTCTGGAGGGTTGCCCCAGCGGCGTCCAAGACGGACTGCTTGGCTTTGAAGTATTGGAGGCAGCTACAGGGCTTTACGTGCCTCTGGATCCGTCTGCGGAGGTCCTTCAGCAGCACGGCCGTGCCTTAGGGGGGTATAACACCCTGAGCTGACGGGACCGCTTCTCTTGGGCTCGCGCTTTTTGTTAGATCTCGTTCATGATCCTGTTTCGGAGTCATCCTTCCGGTAGTGCCGCAGTAGTAGTGGCAGTGCTGGTTGTAGTGTTGGTGGCAGTGGTCGTGGTAGTTGTAGTCGCAGTAGCAGCAGCAGAAGTAGATGTAACAGTAATGGTGATAGTCGTAGTAGTAACAGCAGCAGAAATCTTATTCACAACCATCCTGTGGTATTGGGTCCTCGTTTTGAAGAGACGGTCCCCGCGTTCCTCTTCTCCTCTCCTCCTCCCCCCCTCCTCCCCCTCCTCCCCTCCCTCCTCCTTCTTCCATGCGTTTCACCCACCCAGCACAGCGTTTCGTGGCCCCATAGGGAGCTCCACCGAAGCCCCCAGTGGGACCGCCCGCATGCGTCGGCCACCACCCAGCACAGCCCTTGCTCCCTGCGTTGCACCCACCCAGTACAGCGTTTCGTGGCCCCATAGGGAGCTCCACCGAAGCCCCCATTGGGACCGCCCGCGTGCGTCGGCCACCACCCAGCACAGCCCTTGCTCCCTGCGTTCCAGCCACCCAGTACAGCGTTTCGTGGCTCCACAAAGGTCCCAGTTGCGCCGCCCGCATGCGTCCGCCACCACCCAACACGGCTCTTGCTCCCTGACAGCGTTTCGTGGTCCCATAGGGAGCTCCACCGGAGGTCCCAGTGGCACCGCCCGCATGCGTCCGCCACCACCCAGCACAGCCCTTGTTCCCAGTACAGCGTTTCGTGGCCCCATAGGGGGCTCCACCGAAGGTCCCAGTGGCACCGCCCGCATGCGTCCGCCACCACCCAGCACAGCCCTCGCTCCTTGCTTTTACCCACCCGGTACAGCCTTTCGTGGCCCCATAGGGAGCTCCACCGAAGGTCCCAGTGGCCCCGCCCGCATGCGTCCGCCACCACCCATCACAGCCTTTGCTCCCTGCGTTTCACCCACCCAGTACAGCGCTTCGTGGCCGCATAGGGGGCTTTAGCGAAGGTCCCAGCGGCACCGCCCGCATGTGTCCGCGATCACCCAGTATAGCCATGGCCCCCTGCGTTTACCCACCGCGTACAGCGTTTCGTGGCCCCACAGGGAGCTCCACCGAAGGTCCCAGTGGGACCGCCCGCATGCGTCCGCCACCACCCAGCACAGCCCTTGCTCCCTGCGTTTCACCCACCGAGTACAGCGCTTCGTGGCCCCATATGGGGGCTTTACCGAAGGTCCCAGTGGCACCGCCCGCATGCGTCCGCCCCCACCCAACACAGCCCTTGCTCCCTGCGTTTCACCCACCCAATACAGCGTTTCGTGGCCCCATAAAGGGGGCTTCACCGAAGGTTTCAGTGGCACCGCCCGCATACGTCCGCCACGACCCAACACGGCCCTTGCTCCATGCGTTTCGCCCGCCCAATACAGCGTTTCGTGGCCCCATAAAGGGGGCCCCACCGAAGCCCCCAGTGGGACCGCCCGCATGCGTCGGCCACCACCCAGCACAGCCCTTGCCCCCTGCGTATACCCACCGAGTACAGCGTTTGCCTCATAAAGGGGGCTCCACCGAAGGTCCCAGTGGCACCGCCCGCATGCGTCCGCCACCACCCAGCACAGCCCTTGTTCCCTGCGTTCCAGCCACCCAGTACAGCGCTTCGTGGCCCCACAGGGAGCTCCACCGAAACCCCCAGTGGGACCGTCCGCATGCGCCCACCTGGTACAGCGCTTCGTGGCCCCATAGGGAGCTCCACCGAACCGTCCGCATGCGTCCCACACGCCCAGTACGGCATTTTTACCCAACAGCGAAGACGGATAGGTTTTTAGTAGGTCAAAAGAGAGCATCTTGACGCCCCAGGGGGATCTGGGCGCGATCCCGGGGAGGATGCCGTGGATTTTCTCTTAGCCAACAGTAACGCACTTCGTGGTCTTCGAGTTCCCAGAACTCCATTCCTGGGCATGATTTTGAATGCCCGGGGCCAAGTGTAGGCCACTTCGTGTTCTTCGAGTTCCCAGAACTCCATTCCCGGGCCACGTTTTAAATGCTGAGGCAGGCTGATGCTGTGAGGCTGAGGCAGGCTGAGGCTGAGGCAGGCTGAGGCTGAGGCAGGCTGAATGCAGACTGAGGCTGAGGCTGAAGCAGGCTGCGGCTGAGGCTGAGGCAGGCTGAGGCTGAGGCTGAGGCAGGCTGATGCTGAGGCAGGCTGAGGCTGAGGCTGAGGCTGATGCAGGCTGAGGCTGAGGCAGGCTGAGGCTGAGGCCGAGGCTGAAGGCAGACTGAGGCTGAGGCTGAAGCAGGCTGAGGCTGAGGCTGAGGCAGGCTGAGGCTGAGGCTGAGGCAGGCTGATGCTGAGGCAGGCTGAGGCTGAGGCTGAGGCTGATGCAGGCTGAGGCTGAGGCAGGCTGAGGCTGAGGCCGAGGCTGAAGGCAGACTGAGGCTGAGGCTGAAGCAGGCTGAGGCTGAGGCTGAGGCAGGCTGAGGCTGAGGCTGAGGCAGGCTGATGCTGAGGCAGGCTGAGGCTGAGGCTGAGGCTGATGCAGGCTGAGGCTGAGGCAGGCTGAGGCTGAGGCCGAGGCTGAAGGCAGACTGAGGCTGAGGCTGGCAGGCTGAGGCTGAGGCTGAGGCAGGCTGAGGCTGAGGCTGAGGCAGGCTGATGCTGAGGCAGGCTGAGGCTGAGGCTGAGGCTGATGCAGGCTGAGGCTGAGGCAGGCTGAGGCTGAGGCCGAGGCTGAAGGCAGACTGAGGCTGAGGCTGCTGAGGCTGAGGCTGAGGCAGGCTGAGGCTGAGGCTGAGGCAGGCTGATGCTGCAGGCTGAGGCTGAGGCTGAGGCTGAGGCTGAGGCTGCAGGCTGAGGCTGAGGCAGGCTGAGGCTGAGGCTGAGGCTGAGGCTGAGGCTGAGGCTGAGGCTGAGGCTGAGGCTGAGGCTGCAGGCTGAGGCTGAGGCTGAGGCTGAGGCTGAGGCTGAGGCTGAGGCTGAGGCTGGCTGAGGCTGAGGCTGAGGCAGGCTGAGGCTGAGGCTGAGGCTGATGCAGGCTGAGGCTGAGGCAGGCTGAGGCTGAGGCCGAGGCTGAAGGCAGACTGAGGCTGAGGCTGCAGGCTGAGGCTGAGGCAGGCTGAGGCTGAGGCTGCAGGCTGAGGCTGAGGCTGAGGCTGAGGCTGAGGCAGGCTGATGCTGAGGCAGGCTGAGGCTGAGGCTGAGGCTGATGCAGGCTGAGGCTGAGGCAGGCTGAGGCTGAGGCCGAGGCCGACGGCAGACTGAGGCTGAGGCTGAAGCAGGCTGAGGCTGAGGCAGAGGCAGGCTGAGGCTGAGGCTGAGGCAGGCTGATGCTGAGGCAGGCTGAGGCTGAGGCTGAGGCTGATGCAGGGTGAGGCTGAGGCAGGCTGAGGCTGAGGCCGAGGCTGAAGGCAGACTGATGCTGAGGCTGAAGCAGGCTGAGGCTGAGGCTGAGGCAGGCTGAGGCTGAGGCAGGCTGAGGCTGATGCTGAGACAGGCTGAGGCTGGAGCTGTGACTGCGACTGCCGTTGCCACTGCGACTGTCATC